CAGCCTCCCAAAAGAACCAATCAGAATGGTAGTCTTGTTTTTCTTTCAAAATATAGTCCTATCTGAAGTTAATGCAATTTGTACTCTTCCAGATACAGTGATGAGGTGCAGATTTTAAACTACACACACTTTAGTGTTCAAAGTAATGGGAATAATGTAGCTTTACCATGAGTCATTAGATGTGTGCCCATCCCTTTTTGAAGGGCAAATATACCATTGTGAGTGGAAGTGATAGATGCCTCTACATTACCATATTGTAACCAATGGAGATAAGGCAGGTGCGGAAGTCTTCACAATCCAGCATGCCAGTCTTCTTCTACAAAGAGTAGTTGAAGGATGAAGGAAATGAAAGAGATGGCAGGGATGAAAAGCAGTCCAAGAAGAGATGATTTCATGGAAGATGTTACAAAGAATAGATTTGCATGAAGGAGAAATGGAAGACAGGATGTATTGGACAATGAAACAATGCATTAAAATGACTCAAAGAAGACAAAAGAAGGATACATTTCATTGCAAATAAAGATGGAAGATGAAAGTTAAAATACAAGCAAGAGGGAAAATTGATGGGGATTATCAAGAGAGATATGTTCAAGAAAGGAAAGCACAAGATGCGGAAAATTTAGGGAATCAGGCAAATGGAATGTTTAACAGGGCAATAGATATGTTCCACAACAGAAGCATGAGAATTTATAAAGAAAAAAATAGAACAGTGATAAAACATATAGTAGTACACAGACATATGCACAATAAAATAGTACATTGACAACAGATGGATTAAAACAAAAAAAAGAGAGGGGAAAAATGTGTTATTTCCTTGTAGTTCAATATTGGGCTGTGCTCCTCACTAGATCCAGTACCTGTGCATCGTTTCCAATATCGTAACCCAAACTGATGAGGCAGGCTTTGAATTCCTCAGGGCCAAGTGTGCCGGAGTGGTCCTGATTACGCAGTGCACCAGGCAGCCGGACATGCAGTGCCAAGGGGGTGGTAATGTATAACATAGGGAAGGAGGAGATGAAAAAGGAGGCAAGGGAAGGTGAAGGAAAAGGAGGTGTACCATGCAGTGGGTGGAGAGACATGGGGGTGGAGGATGACAACATGCAGAAAAAGACAGGGAAGAAAAATAAAAAGTGCACAAAGTTAGATACTACATTGAAAGTTTGTACTGTGCCAATGCTTTTTAATGTACCTTTTCTCACTAAACATGGTCATGCCGGACAAATGCTTGCACATAAACTACAAGCAAGCTCTGAAGACTGCTCATCTTCAGATGCTCCCTTATATTAAGTATCTTTCCCCACACATGGACACATGAAGCTGCCTTATACTGAATCAGACCATTGGTCTATCAAGGTCAGGATTGTCTAGTCAAGACTGGCAGTGGCTTTCCAGGGTCTCAGGTACCAGTCCTTCACACCACCTACTATCTGAGCCTTTTAACTGGAAATTCTGGGAACTGAATCTGGGACCTTCAACACGCAAGAAGATACTCTACCACTGAGTCACGGCTCCTCCCAAACTCAGTAACTCTAAAAGTGCCACATTCGCTCAGTAATCTAGAATTCAAAGGAACTGTTAAAAGACCATAGACACATTTTAAAAACCTTGTGACCAAAGCAAGGACAGTCTTGCCATTCATCGTTCTCTAGTAGCAGTTATACATTGGAAGTACTGCCATTAAATGTCCTTGCTTTAGATGGCACATTCATGAACTTGTAAGAAAATGCTACAGTGCAATCCTAAACAGAGTTACAGCCTTCAAAGCCATCTGACTTCAATGGATTTAGATGTGTCTAACTCTGTTTAGGATTGCATTTGGTAGTTTGCAAGAGCTGCATCTCAGTCAACTGCAGTCACTTTTAGTGTAAAAAAAAAAAGTATATATGCAACAGAATTTTGGACAACTGTGAAAATGGAAGGTCCCTATATTGAAAGCAGATTCTCTTCCTTTAACTAGGAATCTGCCCAGAGATACTACATAATATTAATTAGTCACCTGTAAATTCTAAACCGTGAAAATACACAGTGAATATAAGCCACAATAAAATGCAGGAGAGACAGAAGACTCAGTGGAGCACACTTAAAAGCTGCATATTCTTAGCTCAGGAGTCGCATCCAGTTGCAGCTGCCTTTGCATTTGATCAATCATTCTTCCCTTACATGGCTGCTGAATACAATATTTCATTTGGATTCAGTAGCTTGGGCAAATTTCTGACTGTGCCAAGCAAGGTTACCCTACTTCTTCCATCAGACAAAACCTAAGAATCATCAAGAGGGGAGCGCATCAAGCACAGGCCTCTTGGGCTATACTCTAGTTGCATAATATGGAAGCTCTTATCATGCAGAAAAAGCAAGTTTAGGGTTAACTCCAGCAAAGTGTTTCACACCCACAGAATGCATTTTGGAAAAATAATCCCGTGAATTTATTAGACATAAAAATATTTATGTTGGAATGAGAATAATGTTCATATTTAAGGCTAATTCTATTGATAATATACAAGAGTTTTCCTATGAGCAGAATGTAAATGAATGACAGCTATCTTCAAAGAGGCTCATTAGGATAATTCAGCCATTTCTTGAATTTAGAAAGGTATGAGCTAAGATGTGCCGGCATCAGTGTTTCGGAGGGCAGCCATGTGTTAGTTTGCAACAGAACAGCTGGATTCGAGCCCAGGAGCACCTTCAACCACCAACAAGATTGGCGGGGGGCATATGGGCTTCCGAGAGCCAGAGCTCCCATCACCAGACACAAGTCGGAATGGAGATCTCTGGGTCCTTATAGCCCAGTGGGAGGGGGGAGGGGTGCTGCAAAGAAGGAACTCAGGATGCAGAGTTTCTTTGCAACACTCCTCTCACCTTCTGACTGCGACACAAGGACACAGGGATCTCCACTCCGACTTTTACCTGATGAATGAAGCTTTGACTCTTGAAAGCTCATGCTCGGTCTCGAAGGTGCTGCTGGACTTGAGCATTCCATCAGGAGCCAAACATGTTGATGTCAAAAGACCTTACTATGAATTTTAAAAACAAGGGAATGAGAGTTTGAAAATGATATTGTGAGGATTAGGTAAAGGTTTCCCTTGCTCGAAAGCCAGTCGAATCCAACTCTAGGGATGCGGTGCTCATCTCCGTTTCCAAGCCGAAGAGCCAGCGCTGTCCAAAGACATTTCTGTGGTCATGTGGCCAGCATGACTAAACACCGAGGTGCACAGAATGCTGTTAACTTCCCACCGAAGCAGTACCTATTTATCTACTTGCAATTTCTTGCTTTCGAACTGCTAGGTTGGCAGGAGCTGGGGCCAGAGACGGGAGCTCACTCCTTTCCTGCCAATCATATTTATAGGCACCCTCAAAGATTCAGATATTATTAACCCTCCCCCACCTCTTACCCTGTCAAAGTGGTTGAAGGAGGCACGAAATTCATTCATCTGTTCCTGGCTGATTCCTTTGGCATCTCGGGTCAGAATCTGGTTTTCTACTTCATTAATGGTTCTGGCGATTGTTGTGAGGAGCTGCTCCCAGCCCACTCTGATGTGCTGGAGAATCAAAAGGAAGATCCCCCCCAATCATTTTAAGTTGAGCAACAATAGTAGACTTTCATTTAAATGCACACTAGGCCTACATCTTGAAAAACATGTCCAGTAGCCTTTCTTACCACTTTTCAGTTCTCAGTCTGGCAATAAAAATAAGATCATACCATGTACCTATTGAGTACTTCTATGTTAATTCTCTTGTCAACAGGAAACAACTGTGCAGAAAAGTAGAAGCTTCCATTGGCATGGTGCCCACCAAACATTTTGATAATCAGATGGTATGCCATACATATTGCAGTGGCCGTGCACTCTACAGATTTTGTCTGCTGTACTGTTTTAGCAAGTCTCAGTTCAGACAACACATGAAACTATGGTTTACTTTTACTATGCTTGGTTTGTGAAACCAAGGATCAGTTTATAGGCAATTACTTGAATCCGGGTTTCCTTTGGCAAATGCTGTTTTCATTGCTTTGCACCACAGGCTGGTGTTGCTGAGGAACAAGCCAGGATTGAACCAGGTTATCATAAATCATGAAGACTAACTGTGGATAATAAACCAACTTCAGATTCTGCTTTGATGGCCCCTAACTAACCATTTATTAGTGGGGTGGCTGGTCTCATTGATGTGTAAATGTGTTTCTTTATGTGTAAATATAAACGAACAACAACACTTGAGATCAGATCAGACATAATGTGAAATCCTGGTTTAATTACAATAACTCTGGTTAATGTGTTTGTCTGAGAACATAAGAACATAAGAGACGCCAATGTTGGATCAGGCCAAAGGCCCATCCAGCCTTTGGCCTGATCCAACATTGGCGTCTCTTATGTTCTTATGTTCTCTTATGTTCTCAGACAAACACATTAACCAGAGTTATTGTAATTAAACCAGGATTTCACATTATGTCTGATCTGATTTCAAGTGTTGTTGTTCGTTTATACTTACACATAAAGAAATGGTGAAATTGTACTGTCGTAGTTTATAAGCATCAGTTTTACCAAGAACTTTAGAATAGGGCTAGTCAGCATAGAAACACCCATTCAGACTTCTTTGAGAACTGAGTCTGCCCCATCCTTTGCATGTCTGTATTCTTCTCTCACAAGCTCCCAATGTCCTTTACCTCCATGGTGTAATTGGTGTGCTTATTGTCAAAGATGAGTGCCTCCTGAATTTGCTGGTGATCTCCCTCCAGCTGATCAATCTTTGGTTTGTAGTTCACAATGCTCTTCTCATACTGTCGCAGATGACTGAGCTGATCCTCCAGAGTCCCGTGCATCTCTATGGAGATACGACCAATCTCCTGCATGAACCGACAGAAAATGGGCAGGTAAGTGACAAGTCTCAACACGTATGGCTTATGTTTACAATGATTTCCCAAGTAGACTAAAAATATGTTAACTACAATCCTTGTGGTCTCAAGAGAACAGAGCCTTGCTTACAGACTTTTCAGAGAAGAGGTAAACACAACTGCTGGCATAATTCACTATCACTCCATCAAGTACAGTGCTAACTGCATTATGGGCCTCCAGAACACATTTTTGTTTTCTTTTTGACATATTGTTTCTTTCTGATAAATTAAAGCTGCTTTTAGTTAGTATGCATTACAGAACTCACAGTCTGTACCTTTTAAAACTACAACATCTGAATTATTTAGGTATTATTTTAAAACTAGGTGCAAGACAAATGGCTGTAACTTTCCCCCATGCACCCATACTGTAGACAAAGGTTTGTTCTTTTTTCAGAAAAATATGCAGCCACATGCTGACAGTGAAAATTGATGGTTTACATTCTTACCTCCATCTTGGTTTGGATCCAAGGCCCAATAACATTGGCCTGGGCCCCAAACTGCTTGCGCAGTCTCTCATTATGTTGCTGGCGTGCATGTTCTTCCATCAAGGCCTGGTCCCGCCTGGGAACTAGTTGTCTCACCTTTAGCAACAAACACCCCCCCCCCCCAGTTTAAGATTATTTCTTCAAATGTTATATAAGCATTTCTGAAATGTGAAGCAAAGCTATGTGCATTAGTAGCTGAAAACAAAATCTTCTTCAAAAGTAAAACTGGATTAAAAGTGGATTTTTGGTCTAGATAGGCTGGCATCCACAAAGCAAAATAAGATCGCCACATTTAATGCCTTGGGCAACTTCAAGGTAGGAGCATGGGCCACAGAGATGGTATACCCAATGATTTCATAGGGAAGGTGAAGGAACTGTCACATTATAGCATCTCTTTGTTTTGTAGGCACAAAGACTTAAGTCTCCTTCACGGGCATTCATTATTTCACACAACAAAATTAACCTGAACCTTACATTTTATAATTTGTGCTATGGATTATGCCTATCAATCAAGAACCATGGTGATTGTGCAAGATCTTTGTAGTGTATGTGTAACAGAATTTATATTAAGCCGGCAGTGCTATCCACTTACTTGGGACTTGGCTTGCCACAATGAGACTGGCAGGGTAATCCTATGCAGAATTACTCCAGTCTGAGACTATTAGCTTCATTAAGTTTAGAACAGAGAAACTGCACAGGATTACACTATAAGTATTCTGCTTAAGGGAATAACATCATGCCTTGGAGCTACTCACATGATCCCATTTGCTATTTATTTCCTGTGGGTTGATGGTGGTGTAGGGGTTGGTTCCTGCCATATTGACATGGTAGGTCTGGACAATTTTTGACACTTCATTGTGGATTCCTAGGATTGCCTGTCGTTCCTTGTCAGCATCTGGCAAGGTAGCTTTGAACTGTTCATGGGCTGTGGTCAATCCCTGAAAAAACCCCAGAGAACATAAGAAGAATTAAAAACCTTAAGAATAAATAAATCCCTGCCTACTGAGTCAAGGGGAAAACCCAAACTCTGTTTTCAGAACAACTGTAATTAAAGCCCAAAAGCTGTTCCTGTGACTTCAGTATGGGAGGACGACTCATATGTACCTGGATCTCCTCAATGGTATGGACTATGAAGGTGTCTTGGAGGTCCTCCATGGCGCCCTCCATCCAGTTATTGAAAGGGGCAGCTCGTTTGGCATATTCTAGATACAGCTGGTCAATTGTCTCCAGCAATTTTTCTGTTCTCTAGGAATGCCCCACAAAAAAGCACAAGTCAAACAACAGCAAAGGATTGGCATCCTGTATTTTTGCCCTACAGTGATCCTTCAAACTCTGTGTTAACTATTCCCTCCTCTTTGTACTAGTTCTTGTAATTAAGCAAGTACAGCAAAGATCCTTACATGGCTAACGTTCAAACAGTGCAACCTCCCTTTTCCAAACAGTGTGAAGGACATTTAAGCACATTCAGATAATCAAGAAGTAGTTTACTTTTTATACAACTATGAATTAGAGATACAGATAATCAAGGGCTGAATAATCTCAATTCTAAACCAGCAGTGTGAATCATAACAGAAATACTTTAAACATCTGCATTGTTTCCAATCCCCAACTTTGAGAACAGGATAGTCAAAATCAGCATGCAATCTCACCTCAAGGGCTTCCCGACGTTTCTGGGTCAGAGCCCCCAAGTTATCCCACTGGTCACATATTTTCTGGCACCTGGCATTGACACTTGGTGAATCGTAATAATCCAGCTCACTAACAACAGATAAATTAACAAAAAGTTTATCTGGCACTTTGCTTAAAGAAGATCCCTTGACATCAAAGAACAGGTGTAAACAGGCACTGTCACTACTGAGGAAGCACAGCCAACATCTAATTTTGAGACAGTGTCTGAATGAAAAGACTTAATCTGTAGAAGGGAGGGGAGGAAGAAATTTGGGTGGCTTCCAAGGTAGCTTTGGCTTTTCTCAAGAAGCAAGGTAAAAACCACCAACAAAACCAAGCTGCCATCGTGAAGAAACACATCAGCACTAAACAAATGACTCAGTTTTTTCTTCCGACTGATCTCAGACTAGAAGATTCATAGTACTACAATGAGACTGCGCTGTTGGTACATGAAGCCCCCTTTTCAGGAAATCAATTTCAAATGCCCAGTGAGAGATCAGAACCCTATTGATGACTGGACACAAGTTTATAAACATAATTGTTTCCTCTGTCATAGAAAACTTAATAGCTCAAAATGAGAACCAAAGAGTTGTCCAAATTTTCCTGGCCCTCTAATGAAGACATCACACAAATCTTCATCTTATTCTTCATAAATGAAATAGTGAAAGACTTTACATGTTTGGTTTTCCTCATAATAAAGTCACCAAAAGACCACCAAAGGCACTTTTCCCCCTAGGGACTTTAAGTGCATTGTTTCCCCAATTTTTGATAGCCGAGATGCACTATATCAGTCTTACAATCCAAAAGGTGCAGGATGTGAAAGATCAAGACCTGCGAACTCCAAAAAGGTTACCCTTTAACTTTCTGAATGAATCACTGTTCAAATATGAAGGAGGTTGGGCCAAGGGACTGAGTCACACAAAGATGCCACTAGCAACTTCCTTCAAGTGTGGGCAATTGCACTGTCTGCAGAGTGGTGAATCACATATTGGCAGCCTCCTCTGTCGATGGTATTTTGAGCCCACATGGCCCTTTAATTAATTACTTTATCTATTTCTCATGGAATGCTAGCAACTTTCTCTTAGACACAAAATTTAGGAATTACTGCTTTAAAGTTTGAGAACAAGGTAATTGTTTCCCTTTCTCAGGGATATAGAACTATAATAAAATCTTTCCCCATTCATATATCCCATCATACTGGCTTAGTGAAACTTTGAAAAATTTTTAATGACTTTGAAAAGACATTCATGTTTTACCTTGCTTGATGCTGTCATAAGTAATGCTGAAAGTAATTTTGTGATAAGCAGTGCTCAACCTTTTGTAAAGCCTAGCATTTATAGGACCAAGAGAAGCAGACTGGAGGGTGTTTTTCAATGCTACACACAGATGTACATAAGAACATAAGAGAAGTCAATGTTGGATCAGGCCAATGGCCCATCTAGTCCAACACTCTGTGTCACACAGTGGCCAAAAATACCAGGTGCCATCAGGAGGTCCACCAGTGGGGCCAGGACATTAGAAGCCCTCTCACTGTTGCCCCCCCCCCAAGCACCAAGAATACAGTGCATCACCTGCCCCAGCTTGTGAGTTCCTATCTATCCCTTGTGACTAATAGCCACTGATGGACCTCGGCTCCATATATTTATCCAATTCCCTCTTGAAGCTGTCCATGCTTGTAGCCACCACCACTTCCTGTGGCAGTGAATTCCATGTGAAGAAGTATTTCCTTTTATCTGTTCTAACCCAAACGCTCAGCAATTTCATGTAATGTATCTATTTCAAATGTTTTTCTAAAAACAAATTGTTTAAAGTATTGGTGCCCATTCTAATTCTTCGGGGATTAATGTTCATGTAAAAGAATAAAGATTCAGGCCAAGATATACCTATGAATTTAACTCTCTGGATGATAAACTGCTGAACATTAGCAAAACAAACCTGGCCTTCTTACCCATACTAGGCTTGCAGAGAAAACTCAAAGGAAAGGGGGCTTAACTGAATCAAGGCAGTCTTCACACAACAGTTGTTATAACCAAGGCTCCCTCTAAGCTGTGGAGTCCTGTGAACAAAAATTCTACTTGGTGAGCTCCTGGCATTAAAGTTGTGAGCGAGCGATTTGGCTGCTGCATGAATTAGTTTGCTCTGGAGCCCTCCTTCCTGAGCTAACACAAACATCTGTGAGACGGAGGCTAAAAAACTGTGAGCTAGCTCACACTAACTCAGCTTAGAGGGAACACTGGTTATAACCATTACCATGTGTTTGCCAAACTATCACAGAGAAGAGATCCTGTGTCAGTTCACATCCCTCTCTTTGTGGTCAATGATGAGGGGGGGAAAACATTGTAACTAGGGCTACCTGCCTAAACTGAAGTAAAGAAAAGGAGTAGCTATGCCTGAGAACCGGACTGGAAGAGATAGCTAATTGGCTTTTTATAACTCCAGTGACTGGCTTATTTGTCAAAGAACAAAATTGGCGTGCACCATGATAGTGGCAACAACATTGAATTGGGTACAGCTTGTGGAAAATACCACAGAACATATATGCTGGCTATCGTTGCCCCAGGTGGTTCTGACATCATTAGAAGCATGCCAAAACTGTCCAATGAGAATATTGCAGAACTTTCATTTTTTGTGTAATAAAAACTGGTTATAATTCTAAAAAAAGAACCACTTCATGCACTCCATGGGAGCCATACTTGAGCTCTTGGGCAATAGCAGCAATCTGTTCCACACGGTCCTGGTGAGCAGCAAGGTCACTTTCGAATGCCTCATGCTTCTTTAAGAGGGCCTTGATCTCTGACAGGGTCGCCGTTTCATAATCCTTCTGCTGCAACATTACTTCTTTGCCTACAGGGGGAGCAAATACACAGGCCAGTAAGAGAAAGGCCTAAGAGTGGCTGATTAGTATCCATTTTCACTCCACAACAGAAATTTCTATAGAGTGGCCACTATTTCTCATAACAAGCAAGTTCCTTTAATAAAAAAAAAAAAAACCAGATTGAAATTTTTTAACACATTTTTGTTGTAAGTGTCTGATTTTCATACAACAGATTAGAATGGGTAATTTGAACCACTCCCAGTTTAGTCTAAATATCCCTTCCCAATATAAACACCTTGTAGCACCTTAAAGACAAACCAATTTATTGTAGCATAAACTGTCTTGGGCTGGAGCCCACGTTATGAGATGCAGGGCTATTTTTGGGCAGGAATGTCACAGGAACGGAGTTTCGGCTGGCTCCCAAGTTGGCCACGCCCAGCAGGGACTCATTAGCATAACAGACCACACCCAACAGCAGAAACTCATTAGGATTGGCTACATTAGGGGTGTGTGGCCTAACATGCAAAGGAGTTCCTGCTACAAAAAAGCCCTGGGTTTTGACAACAAACAAGGTGAACAGAATAACAAGCAAAAGGTGGGTGTGGCTGGATAACCACACTTCTGGTAACATGGGGGTGCGTCCTAATGTGCTAATGAGCTGTGCTGTCGGGGTGTGGCCCAATATGCTAATGAGTTCCTGCTGTTGGGTGTGGCCTATTATGCTAATGAGTTCCTGCTGGGCTTTTTCTACAAAAAGAGCCCTGAGAGATGCATAAAGTCAAATTCAATATACATGCACCGCACATATACACACAGAGAGGGGAAAAACAGCAAACAGTTTGGGCTAAAGGCCATGAAATTAAAAAATTAAAGTCTGTTATTTCTATGCAAGATAAGCCCAATGATCATTCACAACAACTGTAACTGGGGATACCACAGTTACTGCAATCTATCACCTGTAGTGGGCGAGAAATGCCTTGTCTCTGTTTAAGCCCTGGTTGTTACAATTAAATCCTAGTTCAAACCATTCCATATGCCTCACCCCTACACAGAGACCTGATTACCAGGTCATTTGGAGCAGATTCTGTAACCCACATCTGCTTCCAAGAATGCTGTGAAAAAAACAAGGTAATTTTCTTGCTCATTGGGGTTACTCGCTTTTGAATTTAAGAATTCCAGTCTCCTATGTGAAGCCAAAAGACAGAGAGAGTAAGACACCATGATCTATATATGCGGATGCAGGCAAAAATCTTAATCTTACCACCTCCAGAACATCAATGCTCATATTAGGCTTACCATTCCCCCAGTGGGGCCAGGGGATCCCCTGATTTTGGGGGTCCCAATCCGCCATGACCCAGGGGGTGGCTAGCAGGGAAAGCCTCACCCTGAGAAGCCCCCTTCCAGCACCACTAGCGTTGGTGCAATGACATCACCTGGGAGTGACATCATCACATTTTCAAAGTTGGAGGCGACACTCTAGGTTTTGGGCAAAATTCTATGGTCCTGAGACCCCCAAAATCACAGAATTTTGCTCAAAACCTAGAGCATTGCCCCCAATGTCAGAAATGTGATGACATCACTCCCAGCTGACATCATTGCAGTGTGTGCACTTTGCGTGCACACCAGAAGAACTCAAGGATCGGGGGTCCCCCCACCAGCAGCCAGGTAGGACCTGGCAACCCCAGCTCATATGCAAAAAATTATTTATCGTCTTTAAAATTCTGAATGCTACTAAATGAAGCAGGCTAGCTACTTGTTTCTCAATGCCAATAAAGGTTTTGTGTGCGTGTGCTACTTGTTTCAAATATTGTATGACTTAACATCAAATAAGGCTCATACAAGATTTATATTTATTCATCTATTTCTTTAAATTATTGTTAATTGTTTCAAATATGGCAACAACAATCCAAAGTTATCTCTTAGCATGAGCCAATTGCTCTCTGAACAAACTTGGGCTTCTAGAGAGAGGCTTCAGCTGGAGTCAAAGGCATTGACCAGTAAGGAAAGTGGTCACTGGGGAATCACATAAAAAAGTAAACAGAATGAGTGAACATTTACATGATCAACATGGGATACTATCTTTATTCTCTCTACAATGCTGTGCTTAAACATAAAACACAGACCTGTGCACAATTTCACATATGCTGAAAAAGCAAAGAATGTAGTAATTGGCACAGAATACAATTTCCTGAGAATCTTAGTTTGTATTTCTTAAAAAAAAAAAACAACTTTCTAGCTCTCATGATTGCAAAAATAGGTTTGAAACAGTGGGCAATGCCAATGCATATATGGGTCATACAATTCCATTCTACTGGCACAGGATTTGAGGGGTTTTAATGCATTTAAACACAGTACTATAAAGCTCTGCTAACAGGACTCTTAAAGAGAACAAATTTAGAGTCCACAGTGGCACCTTTAAGACCAACAAAGGTTTATTCAAGGTATAAGCTTTCGTGTGCATGCACACCTTTTCAAATACATTGGAATGGCAGGCAAGGTCGAAACCTATAGCCATAATCTGAACCTTACTTGCCATTCCAATGTATTTGATAAAGTGTGCATGCACACAAAAGCTCATACCTTGAATAAACCTTCGTTGGGTCTTAAAGGTGCCACTGAACTCTAAATTTGTTCTACTGCCTCAGACCAACACAGATGACTAAAAGGAGGACTCTTCAAAATTTGCATTACCATCTGTCCATGATTCATGAATGGAAGCTTTCTGGCGGAACTTCTCAGCCAGGTGATCCAGCCGTTCTAATCTTCGGATCTCGTTCAAAAGCCACTCTTCATAGCCCTTCTCAGCCTGCTCTAGTCCACCCCATGCATTGTTTATATCCTGCAGTGATCAAAGCAAAAGTACAACACTGTGAAGGAAGGGACGGATCAATGCAAATTAAAGGAAATGCTGTTAACATTGTCCTTACATAGGCCATTTGCTTGTCCTGCAGCCTATACTGGAATAGAAAATAGTATCATAGTGATAAGAACAATGAAGATTAATTTCAAGTAAACAGAGCACCTGATCAAATGGCATCTGTGTAACAGCAAGGTCATAGTAAAGGACAACCCAACAGAAAAACCCTACAAGTTATTTGTAAGCAGTTTGAGCTGCAGGACGCTTCATGTTTCCTGTTTGTGACCAAAAACTGCAGTAGGACACGGCTAGGAAATGTCTACAGACCATGGATGGATTTACATACTTTGGTAAAATGGCAGGCTTGTAAAAGTGGAAAACAAATAGTAATAGTCCATCCTCAGTACCTGGAACAGGTCCCATAGGAAGCTTGAAGCAAGACAAAGGCTAATTCACTTGCAAGAACGAGGTTCAGGCATCAGGAAACCTGGTGCTCCAACACAGGCCTGATGACTAATAAGGAATCCAGTGCTCCTAAGGCAAGGAATGTCTCCTAGCCTCTGACCACCCTGGAGGTTAAAGGAGCAGGGTATTCCAGTAAGGTATGTCTCCTGCTGCCTCTGGGACTGGCCATTTGGTGGAGGGATGTAATCTGTGTGCACCACAGTTTGCAGCGAGGAAGTCCACTGAGACCTGACAGAGCATGATGCCAGTGGGGTGGTGTCTCTTGAAGGCTCGGCAGTGGAGCTGCAAGGCCGGCGGCGGTGGCCGGGACCGTTGGGGGCGGGGTGTGTGGCCTTATGACACAATTCTGGTGATGTCAGGGTGTGTGGCCTTATGACACAATTCTGGTGATGTCAGGGTGTGTGGCCTTATGACACACTTCCGGTGATGTCAGGGGGTGTGGCATATGCTAATGAGTTATGCTAATGAGTCCCCCTAGCTCTTTTTCTACGAAACGACCCCTGCATACCAGGAAAGCATTTGCTCTTTGTGAAGTACTTAAGATGCTCATAGCTCACCAGCCAAACACACTCACCGAGACCATTTTCCCTTCTGAAGGCATAAAGGCTGGCCTGTTGCTAAGCCGCAGCTTTGTCTGCAATGTATTAAAGTTTATCTCTAGCTGGCACTTCTCTTGGACTTTGGGAGGCTTGTGAAGACGGCGGTAATCTCGGAAATCCTCCAGTTTCTGCTGCATGGCTTGCATGGTGTTCTCTGGTACCCGATTTTCTAGCCAAGGTATGGTGCGGCGGATCCACTCCAGCAACTAGGAACGCCAAAGCGGAAAGAGTGGAAACTGTAGTAAGCATTTAATACGAACAAGGTTTCGATTTTTGTTAGGGTCATTTGCACTTTGAAGTCTTGCAAGAATCTTGTTCCAAATGTTAATATCATTACAATTTACACTGAAAAGGACATTCGGAAAACTGTTGCCCCATCTGGCAGGGCTGGTTCTTTGGCCAAGCAACGCTTGGGCCACACAGTGAGGAAGATGTGCACACGTTGCTAGGATTCAACTCACTCCTAGCCATCAGTGGCATGGGAGGTGACCGGCATCACCTCTTGGGCCCACATCTCCATTGGCCAGGTCCAAGCCAGGCCCCTGCAGTTATGCCACAGGGGACTGGCTTGGGCCCAGCTGCCATGGGCTCAGAAGCTGATGGGTGTCCTGGCTTGGAGTGATATCCCTTGGCCCTGACAAATAGGACAAGCATGCAATTCAGCTCAATAGGGATGAATGGCACTTTTAACAATTTGTTGGTGATTTTGTACCTCAACGTGGCTGTTGCCAGGACGTTTCAAAGTTGAGTAGTATTTTAACACTTGAAGTGCTACAGTAGATTTAATTTCCCCAACCATAAATATTAAGCCAGTTCTATGGATTACTTTTCTCAATAGGCCGTTCCAATGCAGCCAGTTTGACTTGCAAAAAAAACCCCCAGACCATATAAACTTCTGAGCTACTTTTTTGTGTGACAGCAAAACATCCCACCGTTTTATTAACCCAATGTTTCTTTTACTGTAAAATTTGCTATTGACTGCATATGCCTTTTGGAAAGTTCTTCAGTAGCATTGATGTTAATGTGTTATTTTGCCCCTGATCTTCCCATTATCTGCAAGCACTATTACCTTCTTCTCTGTAACCTACATCATCTCTTTCTTTTATCTATATATTAGTGTTTAATTCCTAATTCCTTAGTCCCATCATTGTGGAGTGCATTTTTAAAGGAAACAAATTATTACATGACTTGAAAGATTTACTCACATTATCTGCTGAAATTAATTCTAGAAGACTGTAGATCCCCTCAGTTTAAAAGGAGATACTGGCTTGTGTCCAAGCTCTCCTGCTTTCTTCTACTCCCCTGCAGTCCCCTTCCAACTCACAGAAAGCTTATTCCTGTGGTTATGGGACCCATGAGAGTCAGGAAGCTGCAGTGAGGTGAACTCGACAGACAGATGAGAAAGGTAGAGTGATTTTCACCCCTTCTCCCTCCCCACTGTAGCTTCTCAATCAACATGGGACTATGTGAGACCCATTACTGCAGAAACAATCTTTTCCAGGGGTTGAAAGGGACTGTGGGGAAAATATAAGAAAAATGCATATTCCCTTTGTTGGTGATTTCTTGGGTATCTGTTGCTTAGCCTTGCCTGCTAGGATAAAGCACCCAGTGTTACTTGTAACTTTCCATTTCCATATAGCCTTGTTAAGAAATTGAAACCAGGAATACCTACATCACTGGCCAACTTCTCATATTCTTCCATTAACTGTTCATTCTCTTGATTAACTGCCAGCACCTTGCAGATCCGATTGGCTGCTGTTTCCGCCTATAAAAAAGGGGGGGGGGATGTGTCAGAAGCACCACCATTATTCAACAAAATGTTTCATTTAGCCTCCTCTTAACTTGCCGATTGAAAAACCTTGCACCCACTCAAACTGTAAAGGAACACTGCTAGCCTAAAGTATATGAGTATGTTTGTAGATCACCGAATGATTGCACCTTAATTTCGTTGTACTATGTACAATGACAATAAAGTATATTATTATTATTATTTATCTTCACATTATGAAGATTTTCAGGCTATTTGGTATCACTGCCATTTTATGCTTCTCAGGAAGACAGATGAATTCTGAACTTTTTGATCTGAATATGTACTGTCTGAGTAGGTTTCTCTCTCCATCTGTGTGTGTGAGCTCACAGAATGCATTCTGATTTAGGCACATATCAGTGTGCGCCAAACACTGGACAGCAGTGCACTATAGAATGGATATGAGGAAAAACTTCCTGTAAGTAGTATGCACATCCAAATGTGCTCAGATACTAACGTCGCTAATGAGCTGCTAGAAAAACCTAACTCATCTGCCTCCAAACAGGCCAGGTTTCCTTGTTTGTTTGAAGTTACTCATCCCCTTCAGCCTTTGAGTGATGCCAAGGGCAGAGCTCACACCAAAAGTAACCCATCCATGAAGAAAGGATAAAGCTGCTGATGCCCTTCTGGCATCTTCTCCATTCCACAAACATACACGCGAAGAAGTTTTGGCTCTCTTTTGGCCAAATTGGTGTAATATGTTATTGGATGAAATGTTAATTGCTCTTAACTCTAAGAAAGTGCTCCCTCTTATAAATGTTGGAACTGTTTTTAAATACAGACTGTCTATAGAGAGTGCACATAACAAGTTTAGGAATACATATCCTGAATACTTCTACTACATTTGACTGTGTTTGTAAACTGTACCTTTAAGACATATCACTACTTTGAATACTGTTTTTAACATTTCCCAAGTCAGCCTCTAAAGCCATTTGAGGGGAAAACAGAGCTTAACTAGCGCAGTTTGCCAGAGGTTGTTGCAACAGCACTAAGTTCAGGCATGAAGTACAGTGCACGGTGCCCTTGGGAACTGGTCATGTTCATCAGTACAAAAAGAATGCAGTCCCTTGGCAGTCAGGCACCCTCCCTGCAAAATGGGATGTCTAAACAGTAATGTTAACTGAATGATATTAGTAATCTTCAAAGAAAAAAAATGTTTTTAAAAATGTGCTTAATGGTATGCTCTCGGACACTGCTTTCTACTTTTTCTTATGCTTAACCGGTACTAGCAAATGTAAAAAGCCCCATTGGTCAAACACATTTGAGGGATCCCCTCATCCGCTTTGTTCAATCACAGATCCCACCCCCTGCAAGAGATAAGAGCATTGTTTTGTTAATCCAGGACACATAGGGCATAAAGATGAGTATTATCAAGAGTTACCTTGCTACCGGACACCACTACTCCTTGGAACCAAAGCCCAAGTTTTTTTAAAAAACTCTAGCTGGTCTTGCAGGATACAGATACACTGGCAAACAGTTGAATTTACTGAACAGTTTTAATTTTAATTGGATATTTTAGATCTATCTTTATAGAATTCTTTGCCTGCCATATCCTTAGGGAAAAGGGAGGCACATTAAATCCACAGGAAAGTCAAAACAATCCCGCTGCTCTCATTTGGCACAAAGCTTTGGGGGTCCAGGTTTATTCTGGGTATACGTTTTTGTGTGCACGCCCTTAGAAGTGTGCATATACACAAAAGCTTATACCCAGAATAAAACTTTGTTGGTCTTGAAGATGCCACTTGACTCCAGCTTTGTTCTGCTGCTTCAGACCAACACGACTGCCCCACCGGAATCTACCTTTGGCCCCCCAGGATCACATTCACAAAATGGCAACATATTCATTTTGTCCAGGGATGAGTTTACTCAGGGCTTAAAATGATCAAAATCCAGTGCCAAGGAAAGGTGAATTCTGCAGCTTGTATACACTATGCAAATTGATGTAAATTGTCTTATTCTGCATATTTCATTCTGTTTGGGGCTAGTAGAGCACTGAAGAGCCATCTTCTGACCACGGGAGGTCTCATCCGACTTCTAGCTTCTCAAAAGCATTGCCCTTCTACTTTCAAGGCTGTTTCCATAGCAATAGGAACTAGGAACCTTTTCTTTAAAAAAAATTAAGCTTAGGCTCTCTGGATGTTCAATTTAGCATCTACTACAAAATTCTATGCTTTTGTATGTCTTGCACAGAATTATAGAACAGCAATAGTACTGCTTCTATCTAACCAATTTCCATTAATGGAAAAGGGCATGTAACCTTTCAAAGTTACACAGACATTCTCAGAAATTTCCAGAGCAAGGTATTTTATTCATGTAACTGCTTTCCCAGTAGGGAGCTGCACAGACTAGTTTCTTCTGGCACTACGATTTTCTCCTGGAAGAGTCTAACTTCCTGTGCCATTTATTTAGCCCATAATTAGTTGCTGATTAAATATTTTATCCCTAAATAATGAGTAAGGGAAACTATTTGTGATTAGACCATTAATTCACTGAACAGATTAACCTGTTTGCTCCGCTAAGAACTGGGGTGTTTATCTATCCTGCCAGGTTTCTCTTCTAAAAAAGTGCAGGTGCAGAAACTTCATGACGTCATCTCTGGGCTACCTGAATCTATTGTCCATTAGCACTATTGTCTAGAGTGGTGCCATGTTCATGCATCCTGGGCAGACAGTATCTTCCTTGTACAGTGTTCCTGACCAACAGTTGTTAATGCTACTTATACAACAGGCAAATCTAAATAGTTGCTCTTTAGGTTTTACCAGTATTGTCACTTCTGTATCTCAACACCTGGTTGAGGAAGTACAGCACAGGCATGGATAGTTTACTAGTGTTCTAGACTAGCCTAAAGTGAGTGTATAATAATGTGGACATATATATCTTTTTATCACCAAGGATTCTTGATAGATCCTGAAGCACCAGTTGCAAGACTTGATCAAAAGGCTAGCCAGACATTAGAACCAAAAATCAATTTCCACAATGTAGTAAAAACATATTATTAAACCCAGCTATTAATTAAAAAAGAAACACTCATGCAGTTTAATGTTATGAAAGTTAGAAGCAGTTAGGAGAGGAAAAAGCAAACCAACCAAAGCGAGTATATGTGTAGAAATACACAGACACACACGTAGAAATCATATGAAGGAAAAGCAGCCAGTCACATACATGTCATGGCAGGCTGGGACCCCTGTACCTTTAAAGACTCAGTATAAGAGAATGAAAGAAGCAGAAAGTTGATCATGTGACCTCCCCTTCAGGGCTGGTAGCAGTAATGAGAAATCTGAATGAGAAATGGAGCGACATCACAATAAGTCACCTTGTCAAGAAAGACTGCAGAGCTTGAAAAGACACTCTGTGTTCCTGGGCCTAGGCTGAAATACATGCTTTCTAATCACTCTACACAAGCACCAGATCTGGAGCCTGCATCTCCTAGCAGCTGGCTAACAGAAGACGGACATTGGGAAACCTTCAAAGGGAAAGAAACTATGCCTGTTCTCGAGGTCATGGATGAATTTGCTGGACTGGCCAGCTAAGAACATAATCCATTATCAAAAACAGAAAGCAGATTCCATCCCTTCTTAAAAACCTTTCCACAGGCAGCCCAGCTTGTTGCCCTAATACTTACTCCAGTTATCTGGCTTAGCTGCTGAATGTTTTATATTGAACACTGGGTTGATTCTGATAAACCGTGAAGAGAGTAGATCTCTCACCACGGAGGGTTGGAGGACACAAAATGGGAAGCCACATGAGGAGCTGCCACAAGAAATGGGAAATCAGCAGAATTCTCTTT